GTTCAGGGAGCCAGAGAAGGCATCAAGAACAGGAAGGAGCCCCGGGGATGGCTGGCAGGTGGCTCAGCACGGCTGGCACACACACAGCTACCAGCTCCCGGGCAGAGCTGTCACACAAAGCCCTGGCCTGGCTGCCTCCTGCTTCCCCCAGCATGCTCCTGCTCCAGCAGTTCCCTGGCAGCCTGGAGCCTGTCCCAGGAGGGGCAGAGCCAGGAGGGCAGCACGGCTGGGGCAGGAGGATGCTCAGGGTGGGTGCATTACTGGCACAGGAGGATACTCTGGGTGCATTACAGGACAGAGAATGCTCTGGGTACATCACTGGCACAGGAAGATGCCCTGGATGGGGGTTACAGGACAGGAGGGTGCCCTGGGTGGGGTGGGGGTATTATGGGGCAGGAAGATGCTCAGGGTGGGTGTTACAGGACAGAAGGATGCCCTGGGCAGGGTGGGGGTGTTACAGGGCAGAGGATGCTCAGGTAGGTGCATTACTGGGGCAGGAGGATACTCTGGGTGCATTACAGGGCAGGAGAATGCTCTGGGTACATCACTGGCACAGGAAGATGCCCTGGGTGGGTGTTACAGGGCAGGAGGGTGCCCTGGGTGGGGTGGGGGTGTTACAGGACAGGAGGATGCTCATTTTGATAAGCAGCACCCAGCATGGGTGCTACTGGCACAGGAGGATGCTCAGGGTGGGTGTTACAGGACAGGAAGATGATCAAGCTGAGTGCATTACTGGCACAGGAGGGTGCCCTGGCTGGGGTGGGGCTGTTACAGGRCAGGAAGATGCTCTGGCTGGGTGCATTACTGGCACAGGAAGATGCTCAAGGTGGGTGTTACAGGACAGGAAGATGCTGTTACAGGACAGGTGGGTGTTACAGGACAGGAGGATGCCCAGGGTGGGGTGGGGCTGTTACAGCATAGGAAGATGCTCTGGGTGGGTGTTACAGCACAGGAAGATGCCCTGGCTGGGGCAGGTGCATTACTGGCAAGGAGCCAGGAACCCCCTGGTTCTGGTGGGGGTGTTACAGGGCAGGAAGATGCTCTGGGTGGGTGTTACAGAACAGGAGGATGCCCTGGGCAGGGTGGGGCTGTTACAGGACAGGTGGGTGTTACAGCACAGGAAGATGCCCTGGCTCTGGTGGGGATGTTCCAGCACAGGAAGATGCCCTGGCTGGGATGGGTGTTCCAGCACAGGAAGATGCCCCGGCTGGGTGTTCCAGCACAGGAAGATGCCCCGGCTGGGTGTTCCAGCACAGGAAGATGCCCTGGCTCTGGTGGGGATGTTGAAGAACAGGAAGATGCCCTGGCTGGGGTCTCACCGTGGAAATGCTCGGCTGTTTTCCGCCGCAGTGCCTCCAGCGTCTCGTCCGTGTCCGCCCACTCCAGCACCAGCCTGCGGCCGTACAGGTGAGTGCTGTGGCACAGGGCGTTGAAGGCTTTCTGCAGAATTAAAAGAGGGGAAAAAATAAAATTAGAGGAGAAAATCAGAACAGGCTCGCAGGAGGAAAGGCAGAGATGTCCCCCTCCCTCTGGCTCGGAGCGGAAAGGCCACAGGAGAACATCGCTGCTCTGCTCTGATGGGGCAGGATCCATCTCCATCACAGMCTCTGGGTCATTTATCTCCCCCACACCCCCAGCAGAGCACATTCCCATGGCCATTCCTGCAGGCTGCAATCCAGCACTGCATGGGACCAGCCTCGAGACAGCACTGGGTGGGCTGACAGCAAACCAGGACCCTCCTGACAGCCTTGTGACTCTCCRGCAGCCTGTTCCCTGTCAGAATGCAGGAAAACACAGCTCAGTGTAGGGGAGAAGYTCCTTCCTGCTCTGGAAACAGGCTGGAAAGGCACCTTCCTGGTGGCAGCAGCAAATGTGGCAGAGCAGGAGCCAAGGCTGGAGTCCTCTGCTCTTTCTGYCTGTGGTGCTTTGCTCTGACACAGAAATCCTGAGGTTTTCTCGCTGTTGGGTCCTGTTTAACAGCACTCACCAGCTGTGATCTCTGGGTGATTCTGAATTCTACCAGACTGGGCAGCACAGAGCTCAGAGGGTTTTCTCTGTCTGTGGGTAACCAGCAGAGACACCCAGAAAACAGTGACCCAGTTTTGGGAAGCTTGATTTTATCTTTATTTCCCACAGAATTTCAAGGAAATTCAAGACTGAGCAGGATCAGGCCCACAATGCCCAAACTTGCTGGCCAAACATTTTTATCCCCAGGGCCCCACAAAGTGCTCCACAGTAAAGGCTGAGCACAGGGGGAGAGAAATACCCCAAATGCTCTTTCAAAACCCTAGCTAAGGCTGGGATCAGCTCTACATATCCCTGGGACAAAAAATGACAACTCCAAGACCACAGAAACACATCCTGCTGTCCAACAGAGACCTGTGCTCCCACCTGGAGCCCCCCAAAGCAGCTCTCAATCTGTCCCACAGAAGCCCAAACCTCTCCCCTGAGCCTCTTGCTGAATGTGGGAGCATATGTCCCCAAATGCCACATTTCTGGGCACAGGGGTTTGTCCCGCCCACAGCTGCTCCTCAGGACCCTCCTTGAGCTGTTGGGTTACAAAACTCATAAAAATCCCCCCATTTTCGATGAGCAGCACCCAGCAAGCTGAGCTTTCTGTCCTTCCAAAGCCCTGTCACCCTTTTACCCTCCTGTGCTGTGACACACGGGTGGGATTCCCATCATCCCAGCACCCCCAGCTGCCCAGGGTGATCCCAGCAGGGCAGAGCACCCCAAACCAGGGCAGGAAGGGCTGAAGCTGTGTTCCTGTGCTGCTGGAAGGGCTGAAGCTGTGTTCCTGTGCTGCTGGAGGGGCTGAAGCTGTGTTCCTGTCCTGTAGCTGTGTTCTGTGCTGCTGGAAGGGCTGAAGCTGTGTTCCTGTGTTGTAGCTGTGTTCCTGTGCTGCTGGAAGGGCTGAAGCTGTGTTCCTGTGTTGTAGCTGTGTTCCTGTGCTGCTGGAAGGGCTGAAGCTGTGTTCCTGTGTTGTAGCTGTGTTCCTGTGCTGCTGGAAGGGCTGAAGCTGTGTTCCTGTGTTGTAGCTGTGTTCCTGTGCTGCTGGAGGGGCTGAAGCTGTGTTCCTGTGCTGCTGGAGGGGCTGAAGCTGTGTTCCTGTGTTGTAGCTGTGTTTCTGTGCTGTAGCTGTGTTCCTGTGCTGAAGCTGTGTTCTGTGCTGCTGGAAGGGCTGAAGCTGTGTTCCTGTGTTGTAGCTGTGTTTCTGTGCTGCTGGAGGAGCTGAAGCTGTATTTCTGTGCTGCTGCAGCGTTTCCAAGGCCTCTCTCCCAACGAGCAGAGCTGGCCTGAACAAACCCTCGGGGGCAGAGGTGGTGAGGGAGCCGTGGGCACCGTTTACGTTGGCACAGGGAGCCTTTGCCACAGCCTGGCAGACAAACCCCAGCCCCAAACCCTGCATTGTGTGTTCATTGCTGGTTTGGAGCTCCTCCTTCCCCCAGCACGAGGAAGAGAAAGGTGGGGTGACAGCACCCAGCCCCTCTGCGCTCTGCAGGTCACTGAGGAGGGCRATGGGTGAGCTCTGCTCCTCTGAGTCACTTCTGTGCCACCTCCTCCTCATCCTCCMTGCAGGATTGCCACCCTCCAGTTCTGCTGGCAGCACTGGGAAAGGTCAGGGAGCAACAGGGAAGCAACAGGGAGTGACCAAATGGTGCCACCAGGTCGTGTTGAGTGGAAGGAACCCTGCTGGGGGAGGCACATCTGCCACCAGCCTGGTGACACCGGCCTTTCCTGCCCAAAAACATCCCCAAAATGAGCTGGAAAGCTCCATTTGTACTGGGATCTCTGCTCCCTTGTCTTCCAGGAGCTGGGAATGCAGGATTTGGTGACAAACACAGGGATGGCACTTCTTTGGAAACGAGCTAAAAGACAAAGCGCAGCTCTCTATGGCTCTGAGAGGAATTAAGACTTTTTCAGGGGGAAAAAAAGGAAACCACGGATGATTTAAAAAGACAAAGGAATGAAGGGGAGAAATGCCATCCCCATACATCCACACTGCTGGAAATCTTCCAGGGAGAGGAGGAAATCTGCCACTGCTGCTATTCCAAATGAAAAGATAGGTAGGGAAAAAATATATTTTAATTAGGTGACAAAATGTGAAATGAGGAGAAKCAGGCTCTGGCTTTCACAGGAAGCTGGGCTGGAGGCAGGAGCTATTTTTGGGATGCAGCTCCTCTACCTGAGCGTCTGCCTTCCCAAAATGCCTCTCTGGAGGAACAAASAAGGGCCAGAGGTTTGTGGAGCTGTATCCAAATGAGGGATAAAGGGAGGTGATGTCTGCTCATCCAAGACTCACCACAAAAACCCCTYTAATACCCAGGGCTTCTTAGACCTTTAAAGGGGAGCTTTTGCCACAAAAAGCTTCTTTTTAAACACCCAAACCCGATTTTGGTAAAGCTGCTGCATTTGGTAAAACCTTCTCCCCGGCCTCTTTTGCTTTCCAGAAGCTTTAGGGGTTGCATGAAAACCCTATGGACTTCTCCTTGAGAATAGGATGTGGGTGTGCCTAAAAATGCCATTTCTGAGCATTTTTTGAGTCCRATTTTGCCAATGTTGATTCGAGCTTTAGGCTATGGTGAGGAAAGGAAGAGAGAGAATAGGGAACAGCAGCTCAAAAATGCCTGTGGGGTCCAAAAAGGGAATTTCCAGGTGAAGAGGTGGCTGGGATGAGGGGTCAAGCAGAGAAATTCGGGAGCAGGGACGAGACCCTGGTGTTTGTCACCCCTGGGTGTGACAGCTCCAGCCCTGTTTGGGGACAGGGCTGCTCTGCCTCCACATCCCCCCTGCTCTGTTAAATACTCAATGGGATAATAGAATAATAAATAATATATATGGGATCATCAGTGGGACAAAGGGTCAGCAACATTAGGAGATGGATAAAAATCCTCCCTCACAAGAGCCAGCCCCAGTGGAGGATGTTCTCTGCTGTGCCAGCTGCACACAAGGATTTTCCCTTCCTATGTGTACATTTGGAAATCCTCAGCTGTCTCTCCCAAACGGGCAATTTCTGTTTTTATATGTGTATTTTTACATTGTATAGGTGTATTTTTATATCATAAAAATAAATAAAAATAAATATAAATAACTAGGTATTATAGGGTAAAATATAAAAAAGAAATATAAGTTATAGGGGAGAAGAGTGGGAGCTCGGCTTCCAGGTCAGAGTTCAAAAATAAAAATGATTCTGCCRCAACTCTGCGCAGGGAATGGTCAGTGCTGGGGTTAGTTTGGGATTGCTGGAGGATCAGAGCTCCAGGGGAGGCTGGGAAGATCAAACCAAGCCTGATGGGGCAGATCTGCATTGGGGAGTGAGGAAGGGGAGCCCCCATCTCGTGCTGGCTGTGGAAAATCTCCACGTGCGCTCCCAYGGCAGAGAAAGTCTTTTTTTGTGAGAAAAAGACAAACCCAGGAGGTCACAGGCTTTAAATGCCCAACAAAGGCAGCCCAACTATTCCATGACAAACCCATCGAGCTCTAGAAGATGCTCATAAGCAATTTCCAGATTACCACTCTGAGCACTGACAGCCGCAGCTATTCAGCTCAGAGGTCTCCGGGCCCGCTCCCCTCCTCTCTCATTTCACTCGGCAATAAACTCTAAGCCAATTACCAGAGTGTTTACAATATTCAGGATCCTATTCATCAATACGCCGTGCATCCTTTTCCAGACGGCCAGTGGAGTGTACTTGATGTGCCACTTGTGAGACAATTAAATCCCTCAAAGGGATGAGGGGGGAAAAAATATGAAGGAGGAAGAAGAGCTGCTTTGCTGGGAAAGAAGAAAACGCCGCTGAGAGCGCTTCCCCTGCACGCTGCCCTCCSTGAGCTTTGGGGGCACTGCCCTGACCCAGAGCCCTGCCTGCCTCTCTGCCCTCTCCAGGGATGGGTTTCCTGCCACTGAGWTTCCCAATTGTCCAGTGCAGCTGGAATCAGAGCCTGAAGGGATGAAAAGGAATGGGAGGAAAACACTGAGCTGTGCCTGCTTCCCCCAAGGCGCTGCCTCACACCCCCAAACCCAGCAGTGCTGAAGGACCAGCCAGGTCCCTCTGTACACATTCCCATCAAAAACCCAAAGTTTCCTTGGGAAAAGATGAATTCAACCCCCAAGAATAAAGCCTGGACAGCTGGTGAGAGCAAAGCAGAGCCACGGGCACAGCTCGTGGTGCAGGGACAGGAATCAGGCTCCTGGGGGAGGATGGAAGCTGAGCAGGGGGAAGTTTGAGTTAGGATCAATACAGGACTCACAGAGAAACTCCATGGACTGTGTTATACAGGAGGTCAGGCTGGGAGGGATGATCTAATAGTCCCCTGTGATCCTGGATCAATGAMTGCTGTCTAAAAACATAAACACAGCACACTCTGGCTGCCTCCCTCCTCCTCTCTCCACTTCTGCTCACAGCCTCGAAAATCTGGAATTTTGGGGGTCATCTGGTGCCTTCCCTTCAGCAGGGACATTCTGTGGGTTGTGCCCACAACCACTCCCTCCCAGAGACTGCACAAATCACCAGGGATGAAACCCACCCTGCCCAGAGCCTCTGGCAGAGGGTGAGAGCAGGGTGCTGCAATCTGCTTTTTTTTGCTGCAAGTAGGGAACTTAAATATGTAGGAAAGCCTTAAAAAAATAAATAAAGGAACCAGGCAAATTCATAACTACTGATCCTCTGAGAAAGCACCAGGGTAAAGCTGCTCACAGGGGCCCTGAAACACACAGAACTGGTGAACACAGCCTTGCACAGGTCACAGATCAGGGAACAGCCCCAATACCCAAAACGCCCCTAAAATCAAGGCAGAGGTATCCTGATGTGTTAATGTTGAGTCAAACCCTTCCTTCCTCACCTTGCYRCTGACAAACATGAAAAATAAGCTCYTGTCCTTCTGTATGACAAGAATTTGGAGTTATTTTATCAGCTGCATCGAAATGATCCCCATTATGGCTGAGACTGCGGGTCTGTCATTGCCCACATGGCAGTTTCAGCCTCGGTGCAGCTTTCCTGGGAAATGGAAATGGCAACAGCCTGTCCCAAATCTGGGCTGAGCCTGGGTGGGACAGAACCTCTAAAGTGCCCTCCCCAGCTGGGAGGAGCACGGCTCACCTTGGCATCCTGCTTGGTGACGAAATCCACGAAGCCAAAGCCGCGGTGGGASCCCGTTCCTGCCATTTTCTTGGGCAACCGGACGGTCTTGAGCTCTCCAAAAGTGCTGTGGATCCAAGGAAGAGCAGAGACAGCGTGAGGTGAGGGGAAAAAACATCCCTTTYCAGGAATCCTGGCAGTGCTGCGGGCTCAGGTGAGCCCAGGTGTCCTGCAGCCACTCTGCTTCCCGGTAAACTAAAAACCCACCTGGCATTTCAAGGATTGTTCTGGATGGAAACCTTCACAACACAAAAAATTTCTTTGATGTAAGCAGTGTGTTTCTGCTTCCCTCAGGAGATCCAGCCAGAATGGCAGACCCTGCTCAGGGTGGGCAAAGGGCATTTCCAGGGCACCAGGGCTGCTCCAAATGCCACCAAAATARATTTATGGCATCTCAGAGGAGGGGCTGGAGGGCACAGGGTACGGGAGAGGACAGAGCACGGCCCCTCAGGGATCTGTTCTCTTTCTGGAATCCATCTCCAGAGGTGATCCCTCCACCCCAGGGATCCTGGGCATTTTTTTATGGCTGGATTTCCTCATTCTAACCCTTCACCCTTTCCCACCCTGCAGCCTCTGRGCTGGAATAAACTGGTTTTCTTTAAGCTTGCTGGATTTACAAAGGGAAGCAGGTGAATCCAGTAGACCACAACACCCGCCATATCCAACAGCATTTCAGACAGGTTTTGGAGTGTCTGACAGGGGGAAAGTCAGGAATGAGGAGAAAAGGGAGATAATGTTCAGCTGGAAGAGAACCAAAGCATGCAACCACCMCACTTTATCCAAAAAACCTGGAAATAAACCCAATTTAGGCAGCACTTGCTKGACACCCCTCTCCAGTGCCACCCCCTGGAGAAATTCCAGGACAAAGCCGAGGCTTTCCCAGCGCCGAGCTCCCGCTTCCCCCTCTCCTCCCCTCACACCCATTTATCAAACACATATGCACAAACTGCAGGCGATAAATATTTAACGTGGCCCGGGTCTGGAGAGATGTGTTACTTTATTTGAAAATCTCCACGCGGGCGTGCATCCACAAAAGGAGCCGGGGATACGGCGGTGCCAAAGAGCGCCTGGGAATAAACACGGTAAAGGCCATAAACGCTCTCGTGAAATGATAGAAGCTAAATCCTGGGAGTTAACCCGCTGCACCGGCAGCATGACCAGGCATTCATCCACCCAATTTCCCCCGGCAAGGCGCTGTGTAAATGCGCCATTATCAAGCTTCGAAATGAATCCGCACGTCTGGCGCTTGGTGCTTTCCCTCCCAAACAAACAAACAAACCCGGCACGGCCGAGGGAGCAGCCTCAGCTGGAGGGGAGGATGGGGTCTGGGAGGATCAGGAGAGCCCTGGGGGTTCCTGAGGTGCTGCTGGAACGGGGTGGGGGTGACAGGGACAGCCAAGAGTGTCTCAAAGGCTGCAGGTGGGTGAGACAAGGAGGTGCCCATCGAGCGAGGAAAATGGGAGGTGGGAGCCGTGGGGATGCTCCAATCTGTCTGTCTTTCCATGGAAAACATCAAAGGAATGTGTCTGGGGCAGCAGAATGTTTGCTGAAGGAACATTTGCTCCAAGGGAGGTCCTGGACAAGGCTCAGCCCGTACTCTCAAACCCCAATGCGTCCCTTTGATGCCCAACACACAGAAGCAGCCAGGAGGTGCCCACAGCAGTGGATGGYGCTGGATTCAGGCTCCCAGGGAGTTGTGCCTGGGCAGAGCTGGACAAATGGGCTCTTCCTTCCTGCCCAGCTCACAGCAATCCAAGATCTGCACACTGGGAGAGAAGAACTGGCCCAAATCCCAGCAGGGCTGGCCAGCAGCACCTCCCCGGGCAGTGAGAGCCAGCAGGGGCTGCCAGAGGGAGGGAGCCAGGGAACGGGCGAGCTGGAGGGCTGGGGGAAGCCGAGGGGCACAGGGCTGACCCCGGGGGGGCTGTACAGCCCMACACTGTCCCCCCCACTGCGGCGCTAATTAGAAACCACAACGCAGCAATTACCAGCGCCGAGCTGCGAATGAAGCGCCGAGCTCCGGCCTTTAATGTTCTCCTCTGCGGTGCCAGGCACAGACTCACACCTCTCTTTTCCAATTATTTCTTCAGGATTTGGGGGGGAGAGAGAGAGGAAAACCCAATTACCCCCCGTGGTGCCAGGCTCGCGGTGCCCAGGGAAGCCGGAGGGATGCCAGGTGCTGATGCGTTGGCTCCAGCTGCATCCAGACACGGATTGTGCCAGGGACAAAGGCATGGGGTGGGGATGGCAGCAGGAGGAGGATGGACAGCGTCACCCAGATGCCACCAGAGCACGGTGAGAGGCAGGGAAGAAAGCAGGTTTTGTGCAATATCCCATGGAGCTGTTGGAAAATGCGCTCCCGGGGGTTGGTGTGGGTTTGGGGGCAGGGGGATCACGGCAGCTCCTTCCCCTGCCAGCACCCAGCTCTGATGGGCACAGAGAGAGTGGAAAACACAGGGAGGGTTCCTCRGGGAGCTGGTGCCTCTCTGCTCTCAGCCTGGGCAGAGATCAGCAGAGATCAGCAGTTCTGCTGCCAGCACGGGGCACAGCCCCAGGCCAGGCTCCTTCCACCAGACAGGATGGTTTCTGGAATGTTCCAGCATCAGGAAGCGTGAAACCTGAGTGGCTTCACACCCACCCACTCATCCCGGCCTTCTCTGTGCTCCTGAGCCCCTGCACCAGGGCTGAAGGAGCAAATCCTTCCCACCTCAAGCCACTGATTTATTCTCAGTCAGTCTGGCTTAACTTGGCACGAGCCCCGTGCCCCCCAGCCCCTGTGCCTGCCACACAGCTGCTCCATCCTCTCCCGGCTTCCTTCCCCTAGATCCCAGAAAAAACAGTGTCCTGACAGGAAATACCTGAAAGGAAATGGGAAGGAAGGAGGAAAAAACCCTTCCTCTCTTGTTAGCTTCAATCTGGGGCTGCACTACTGCCAGGACACCTCTGCAACTCCAGGGGCACCACAGCAGGATGGGATTCCCCTGTAACAAGCTGAGCCAAGGTGGGCAGCAACCCCAAATCTCTGTGAGACACCCCTCTCGTGGATGGAGCTGCCCATCATTAACACAGGAAGGTTTGGGGGGCCCAAAGCCAAGGGTAAAGGTTTGGGGGGCCCAAAGCCAAGGGGAAAGGTTTGGGGGGCCCAAAGCCAAGGGGAAAGGTTTGGGGGGCCCAAAGCCAAGGGCTCTGTCACAGAGGCAGCAGGATTGCAGAGCTCTGGTGACCTGCCACAGTCACGGCTGCTCCATCCCCTTTTGGATTCCTGGCCATAGATCCATGAGAAACAGCATCCCACAGCCATCCTCTGCCAGCCCAGGTGGGATCAGGCCCAGGAGGAGGGCACAGSTTTGCCCTGTCCCTGCAGGCCCTGCCAACCCAGCTGGCACATCCCAAACTCCTGCCTTGGCACGTTTCCCTGCTGCTGGCAGGGATGGCAGYTCAGCAAACACCGCAGCTCCTTCTGGCTCCTGAACCAGAACCTTTGTCCTGTGCTGGGAAAGCACAGAAATTCAGTTCTGGCTCTGGCTGAACACTGATCCACGGGGCTGCAGGACAGAAACAGCCACCAGCTCTGCCTCTTGACGAGGAACCTGTTCCAGGTTCAGCAGGAGCACAGGGGACATCCCAGGGATGGCACAAGGGACATCCCCTCCCTCCCACCCTCCAGAGATCGGGCATTTCCATGGCATTGCTGGCTCTCAGCTGCTCTCCAGCTGCCATCCTGCTGCCCTGGCTGGACACAGGGAGGGAAAGGACAGAGCCATTGGCACTTTCAGGGATCCAGGGGCAGCCACAGCTTCTCTGGGCACCCTGTGCCAGGGCCTCCCCACCCTCCCAGGGAACAATTCTTCCCAAGTAAAGAATTTCTTCYTAAGAAACTGCAGAGCTGATCAAGGACTGTCGGGTTGCCAAGTTCTATAGGGGAAAGCACAGCTGCCACYACAAATCTGGGATGGTTGGACAGACAAACCACTGCCAGAGAACAGAACTTCTTGGAAAACAACCACAAAAATGCCCCTCAGTGTTGTGCAGACATGTACAGAGGTCCCACTGCATAGGGCAGCCTTAAATTCCCTCTCTGGTTTATGTTCCTTCAAGAAAAACCAAGCAGCAGTAACACATTGAAAAACTGATCATGGAAACCTTTACCAAGGCTGCCAATCTTCTCATGGGCTGCCATCCCCATCCCCTGCCACCATCTCATCCTCTCCCCAGCCCTGCCCCAATCCCCCAGGCTGGAGCTCAGGCCATGACCGCTCATCYCCGATGGCTCTGGGCAGAAATGGCCACTCCAAAAGGGTCACAGGTCCTTCCCTCCCCTCCCTGCACAGCCTCAGCCCCAGGAGAATCACTCAATCCCTCCATTTCATCCTTTTCCCCCACCTCACCCCAAACAGGACCTTCCCTCCCCCCAGCCCTGCCGCTCTCTGCCTCTGTACCCATTTACTGATTATAGGGGGGAAGGGAAAAAAAATCCTAGTAATGGTCCTTTTTTTCTTTCTTCCTCCTTCAGGAAGGCAGGACCCTGGCAAATGGTTTTGCCCCTGGGCTGAGCCATGGCCAGTTCCACCCCCTGCATGAGGGAATTAATGGAATACGCAGCAGAAGGGCCCTCCCGCCTCCCGCTCCGGGACTTCAGCTGACTCCAGGACGGCTAATCCCATTACAAGAAAATAACGTGGATAATTCAAGCTAATGAAATCGTTACAAGAATGTGGACAGCCAGGGGTGGACATTCAGAGCCAATTTAACACTCCTTGGTGTTGTTATCCCCAGCGCAGGAAATATCTGAAAGGAGGAAGGGAAAAAGGGAAGGAGGGAGGGGAAAAAAAAAAAAGAAGAAAAAAAAAAGCCTTCCTCTCTTGTTAGCTTAAATCCTGTTAGAGAGTTCAGGAATTAATCTGGCACCTATCTCCCCTATTACCATTATCACCATCATCACCATCATCAATAATGGCTCCTCGGTCACCTCTGAACATCAGCRAATGAAGGCACAGCAAGGCAGGGTGGGAGGGAAAGCTCTGGATGGTGGAGCTCAGCCCAACTGGGGCTCCCTCCAGCTCCGGG